TATATATATATATATATATATATATGCGTATACCACAACACCATTTACTCTTAAGTATGGATTAAACACACCTCACACAGGAGGCAACGGCAATCACGAACCCGTGGAACTCGTGCTGACATCTAGTATCGACCACTCAAACTACGTTACGGAGACGAAACGCAATCATTGGTAGTGTATTACGTACGACCCACTGATAGATATTAGAAGGAATACATATCAGTAGATAAACCAACCGTTTCAGCGGTATGCTCTCGGATACTGCCAAAAACTACGTTGTTTTATTTTCCACGCTACGCCACCACAACGCAGCGTGAGATCAGATAAACGCATTCGTTGCAGCGTGCTCATTTTTGGGCATTCTCTCTCGTTTTCATAAAACGCCGCCAAGTCTAAATCGTCACCACACAATTAAATAAATCTGTGGTATAAAAAAACCAACGTAACACCAGGTCGAGCCGAAACGCGCAAAAAAGTCTACGTACCCCACCCTCCCCTCTCTATAATTCACACCCAGCCCCCACAATTATTTATACTACAGTCGCTACGATAACTCTACACACTTGACAATAATGCTACATTCCCCCCACACGACATTGGTACACACCACAATGATTAGGCTACCCACACCCCTCAATAACCCCCCTCCTCCTAAAGATACAACTCGACTGGCCACAATAAATGCCTCCTGATTCTGCACAATAAGTAAAGGCGTAGCAGTTTTTAGGCTGACCGTCTCCCAGGCATATCTGACGTAGCTGCACACAAGCCGGGGAAAAGCGTGGCGGAGAGCGAGGAATGGGCGGCGCGCGAGGGAGGGGCGAGGGAACACAGCCCCAACAGCACGTGGGAGGGCAAAGGATCAGCTTGCCGATGCCGCTACATCGTCTCCGTCTAAAGCGCCACTCCGCACACCACTAGCGTCCAACCAATCAACGCCACGCGATCGCCACACAAATCACTCCGCATATAAAACAAGCGCACGCGTTCTCGGATTTTCTTTTTTGCTCGGCAGCGACTGACCTCTCACGGGTGGCGCAGGCCACCCGGCTAAAGTAGATGCTCGTAAAACAATCGTCGTCTTTTTTATAATAAGTAGTTCATTACCAATCTCTGCTGTTATTGCTCCCGCTTCCTCACCAGACTAGAATACCGATTAAAAATACAGACGCGTGCGCGCTCGCACGACGAATGAAGGAATATAGCACGCTCGCATGCACGCACGCACGCACACACACACAGAACTTTATCGTATCAGGAGTTAATAATGACAAATTTGTCATTATTAACTCCTGATCATATGTAGGAGGAGATATACTATTCTCGCAGCTTTGAGGTATATCGTAAGCATGAAGCCTCCACGAATGCATTACGTCACGGTTGGGTTCGCCCGCCAAAAAATCGAACTGCTGCAGGTGAACCGACTTGCATTTTTCTCTTTGTTTTTTTAGCGAATAAATTTCCACGCCCGGGATCACGCAAATCCCAAATTGAAAGCATGTGTCGTTGTTCTGGTGGGTTATATGCTTTTGCAGAGCTGGGTTCTGACCTAGGCTAAAGGATATTTTTCTGCTTTTCCCCAAGCGACACAACCCAGCCTAGGGGGCACCACCCAGCCTATGGGACACCACCCAACCTAGAAGACCTGACCCTGCCTTGCTTGGGAGCTCGATCCTACATGATACCTAGCTCAACACAGAACCGTCTCTAAGGACACTCCGGATGCTATTACCGTACCAACAGAACCAGCTACCGTACACAGACACCTAGGCCATGCATCGGTTTCGCTGCCACACACACTGCACCCGCAGCGACCAAAACTAACCTACTCATCCAAGCAAGATAACACACCCCCACCCCACCCACTTTAAATATCGTTGCTAGGTCAAACGAGCCCCCAACCCGATTCTCAATCGCGTTTATCCCGCACGCGCCGAAATGACACACTTTTCGTGGAAAAGACGAATGCCTTAGTGCCAGCGCACGTCGCCCGATAAGGTCGACTCCGCAACGCTAGACGAATACCAACGTGACCCCAGCCCGCTGCAGGCGTTGGCTTACGCGCATGTGGGCCGGGCGGGCGGGAAGCGCGTCCCCGCGACGCTAGATGAACACCAACGCGACCCCAGCCCACTGCAGGCGTCGGCTCACGCGCGTGCGGGGCGGGCGGTAAGCGCGTCCCTGCGACGCTAGACGAACACCTTTGCGAGTGCGTCGGCGCCGCTGCTGGCTATGTAAGGTTTCGTCGGGTGGAAAGCGACGTCGTAGATCGACTCGTCGAATTTCTTGCGGTGCGACGTGATCTCCTGGATGCATGTCTTGCTGTCGAGGTTCCACAGCCGGATCGAGCAGTCGTGACCTGGAGGCGGAAGATAGGGATAACGAGTCGAAGCCGAAAAATAGATGGAATAAAACTACGAATGGATAGTAATGGATAGTAATCGCCAGAGATTAGCGAAAAAAATGGTGAATTACTTAATAATTGCTGTAGTGTAGAGGCGGAAGACATGCATAACGATGTAATAAATAATAATAACGGTAATGACCGAGAGTTAGCAGACTCTAGGTTATGTTACCCTACATTAAAAGGATGAATGACTGAATAATGGCTGTACTGTAGAGACAGAAGACATGGATAACGATGTAACAAATAATAACAACAGTAATGACATGTTAGGTCATGTTACCCTACATTAAAAGGGTGAATTACAAAACATTGGATGTAGTGTATTGCTGGTAGTTAGCAGATCATATGTTATGTTTTCCTACATTCATACCATCACAGTAAATTGAATTTCATGATTGAATGTTGAATTTATCGGAAGAAACGGACTGAGAACAACGACCTAGCTGTATGTGTGTAAAGGTACTGCTAATGGTATTCGATGCTGTTATATTTGTGCTTGGAGACATTGTTGAACTTAGCTGTAGCCCTCCCAAGCTGTCTTGCACGGCACTTACTTCCAGACAGCAGGTATAAGCCATTAGGATCCACGGCCAGGCTTGTAACAGCATCCAGATGGGCCACCATGGAGTGCACCATTTTACCTGGAGCAACAACGAAGACAATCACACACCAAGGCAACAAGGAGGGCAGCCTGCAACAAAACAGACAACCAAACACCGCAGAAACAGAGATTAGGCTGCGATGACAAAGACAATTACACATTGAGGCAATATGATGGCAGACTGTAACGGTAAAGATGACCAAACACCGCAGAAACAAAGAGGTTAGGCTGCGATGACAAAGACAATTACACATTGAGGCAATGTGATGGCAGACTGTAATGGCAAAGATGATCAAATGCCGTTCCAACAATGAGGGAAGCCTGCGATGACGAAGACAATTACACATTGAAGCAATATAATAGCAGGCTATAACGAAAAAGACAATCACACATCGAGGCTACAAGAAGGACACGCTCTCTCGGGGTGGATGAGGATGGAGAAGCGAAGTAAGGAGCGAGGCGCTACCGGTGTTGTTGTCGTAGAAGCGTATGTGCCTGTCCTCGTGGGCCGTGATCGTCACAGGCAGCGTTGGATGACTCACCACCTTGTTGATGCTTGTCGCGCCGGCAGCGTCTGCATAAACACAGAGAGAGAGAAAGAGATGGCGTAAGCACAAAACACTAATGTCACAGGCACCGCCCCCACAATACCAGCTATTTCACCTGCACAGTACTTAGCTACCAAGCCAGAACACATCCAGCTATCGTTTTTACTATCTACATTTTACTGGATATATTCACCCCCATGATACCAGCTATTTCACCTACACAGTACTAAGCCATCATGCCAGGACATACGCCCCGGCATGATAACATAGGCTGTAATAACGCACCCGTCGGTGCGTGACTCTCCAGCTCAATCACGGGCTTTCCTGTCTCCAGGTCGTAGATGACCGCATTGCAGGAGGTGTAGGCAGCGACCATCTGTGACGGGTCGCTGCGAACAAAGTCCACCGACGTCGGAATGTCACCTGAAACCAAAGCGCACAAACAATTACCCCTGCAGGTGGCGCCACGAGGCAAGACTACAGCACAAGGTTTTTACAAAATAACTTCTTAGTTATCCAGCACTTGCGAACCTCGTCAAGAAAGGAAAATAATGAGTAAAAAGTTGGATAATATAATAAGTATTAATTAGTTATTAACAACTTTATTATATTACTTATTATAATAATTATATATATATATACAGTGTAGCCCCATTATAACGCGATGGTTGGGGTCCATAAAATGTAATCGCGTAAAAAGTGGGGTCGCACTATATCAGGGTTAAATAAACGTGGCTATATATAAGAGCAAAAAAAGGGGGTCCAACGACTCATCGCGTAAAATTGGGGTTCCACTGCACATATTAGATACACATGCGAGTATGGAGTAGTGTGGGCTCACACACGCTCTCACCTTCGGGCGTGGTGTAGGTGTGTAGCAGCGGGTCTTTGCCCTGCGGTTGCCACAGCCTCACCGTGCCGTCCGCGGAGCAGGAGAGCAGCTGCATGCGCATGCTGTGCAGGGCCAGCCCCCACACGGCGTCCGTGTGAGCGATGTACGTCTCCGTCAGCACCGCCGGGTCTGTCTCGCGCGCGCGCGCAAAGAAACAACACGGTTAGCGCGAAGGTAGCAACGACTACGGCTTGCTGGGAGCGCACTACAGCGTACACAGGAATGTAGCGGTACGTTCAATATAGTCTTTTACTGTCTCACGGCACTGTCGATTAATCGAAATGCAATGTGTCACAGACAGTTGTTTATATATATATATATATATATATATATATCGTAAGTCTTACCGAAGGAGTCATAGGGGTCTATGTTGGAGCTGGGTATACTCCAGCACCTCACGGTCGCGTCGACGCCCCCGCTGTAGCAGTGTTCCCCCGTAGGGCTCATGGCCAGCGATAGAACCGTGCCCCTGCACGACATGACACACAACGTCGTGTAACATGGTATAACGTGGTATAACAATGACATGGTGGCCCCTGTACAACAGGACACTACATGGTATAACAATGACATGATGGCCCTGGTACAACACGACACAACATAGTATAACAATGACATGGTGGACCCTGTACAATACGACACAACGTGGTATAACAATGACATAGTAGCATCTAAACAACACGACATAACATGGTATAACATGACATGTGGTATAACAATGACATAGTGGCCCCTGTACGACACAATACAATATGATACAACATGATATAACAATGACATGGTGGCACCCCCCTGTACAATATGATACAATATGTCACAACATGGCATGACACTGACATGGTAGCGCCCTGTACAACATGACACGATATGATTCAACATATGGTATATGGTACAGCCTTCAAGCTGGTTGATGGTATGGGTAGATAATAATAATACTCACTCGTGACCTCTGAATGTGTAGATGGGTTCTACATCGAGCGAAGCAGCTCTGAAACAAGTGCGGCATTGTTTACTACTCAGTATAACACAGTTGTCAGTTACTCGTGTAGAAATACATAGGCAGAGACTATACGTTCAATCCGAAGGCTTTTCAATTCGGATATAAACACACCCACACACCACACTGACTATGCACGAGCACATACCACTCCCACTACACACCCATATACTACTCAACTAAACACAACTACTATACACACCCATATACTACTCAACTAAACACAACTACTATACACACCCATATACTACTCAACTAAATACAACTACTACACATACCCACTATACACATCCACGACTCACACATCCACATACTACTCAACTAAATACAACTATTACACACACCCACGACTCACACATCCACATACAACCACTACCTACTTATACATACCACACACACCGATTGCAGCTGCAACTCCTCCATAGCCCAGCCACCCCTCACCCCACCACCACGCACCAGCTTACTTACCCACATACTACACCGAATACACCCACTACACACACGCACGCACGCACGCACGCACGCACGCACGCACGCACGCACGCACGCACGCACGCACGCACGCACGCACAAACAAACACACACACAAACACGACATAGCTAAAACCTGGGCGACACACAACACGGGGGTCACGTGTTATTCGCACCCACCCCTCGCCCCCTCACGCCCTAACCCCGCCGCCACGACTACGGCGCACGCTTACTTCTTAGCTGGCACGGTCTTCTGCAGGTTCCACAGCTTCAACGTGTGATCCTCGGACGCTGTCACGAGCGCCGGCTCGACGGGATGAAACGCTAGCGCCCTCACTCCGTCAAAGTGGCTGCGCAGCGTGTACTTGGCGTTCCACGTCTTGCGGAACGCCTCCTGCGGCGTCGCAATCTGAAGCGTCCGTTCGTTAGGCCACTCGTTATTTACACATTGATTTAATTAGTTAGTTATTTACTTACAATGCTGCAGTTGTTTGTTTACCTACTCGTCATTTACTCATTTATTTAATTAGTTGGTTATTTACTTACAATGCTACAGTTGTTTGTTTACCTACTCATTATTTACTTATTTATTTATTTACAATTCTGCAATCGTTTGTTTATTTATTTTTGGTTATGATGCAATTTTTCGTTTCAAGGTCATCTGCACAGCCACTCTTGTTTATTTATTCATTCGTTCATTCATTTACCTTGGTTCAAATGCTACTGTTTTTACTCTTTATTACACCATTTTACGGATATATGAGGAGTGAGGTGGAGAGGGGACGCAAACAAACATGGTCGAATGATCACCACTGTAATCGTGATGACATCGCACTGAATTGCACAGATACTGTTCCGGATACGGACACACGAACGATGACGCGGCGAAGGCGTGGGACGACGAAAGCAGCGCAGAATAAATTATCGACGTCTACGTCAAAAACAAGGCCGCGTTACTTACGTCGTAGCTTAGCGCATCAGCCTCGTTTGCAACGCTGAGACCCGCTAGCTCTCCGAGACCCAGCGCCGCCTCAAATGCCTCGTCCTCTGATCCAAGAACCGCCACCAGGCCGCGCCTCGCGCTCGACGGATACGGAATCCCTCCACCCTTGACCACTGCAAGACAGGAATGTGCGCGATGTCAACGTGGCGTCTTCTGCGCACGAACTAAACCCGAAAAGCTGCATTAAAGTGATTACGTTGCGAATTTCTAGCACCATCAAGTAGTATATTTGTGTGTTATTTGTACAAAATAAAATGTATGAAAATACAATTAGTGTTTCTGTTTACTTTTCATGCTTATATACCTTCTTTATATGCCCTAATTTGCCGGTGAAAAACAGAGAGACGCCAGTATCTGAACAGTACTGGGGGAATAGTGTTAGACAATAGAAATTACCAAATCGTCTAGATTTTTGCAAATTTAACCAACGTTAAAACATTTTTATCAGGTGAGAGCTTGAGGATATTTTTAGTAACGTTAGTTCTTACTTGTATGTAACCTTACCTTAATGTAAAGAAATGGCAATTTTTTTTTTACAAATTTTACCGTGGAAAATTCGTGACGTAGTCAATTTAACTATAGATGTATTGATAAATAGATGTATTATACATATACATACTAGCTATACATGTATAATTAATAATTTTTTAATAATGTATTCTATATATTAATACACGTATATGTATAATTAAGTACTAATAACTAAACAACTAATATTCTGAAATTTTACCATACATAATTATGAATTCTATGTTAAATACGTGTCTATAATAATGGAGTGTATAAAGATATGTATCACTAAGCTAGGCTACTCACACCTTAAGCAAAAGAACAAGTGAGAGTAAAAGAGCGAGATAGAGAGAGAGAGAGAGACAGGGATAGCCAGGTGCTTCACATACATGCACACTTATGAGACATATGTCCAGTAAATTTGAAATAACATTCCGACTGGCAAACATGTTGATCCCAATCTTCGAAATGCCCAACTGTGAACATGAATTTGTACTCCAACCTACCTGGTGTATGTACATGTATGTATATATATATATTTACTTATCGATTTATTTATATATATGCTGAAATTGAAGAAATCAACTCGTGTTGGCATACTGATACCACAGAAGACAAATGTAGTAGCTTCCAGATGTGACCTGCCTGGTTTCCTTGACACACGTGCGTAATGTGGTGATAATAAATGGTAGTGGCATCGGCACACGACCTTGACAGATGAATGGCACATGACCTACCACACGTCACAGTGGTGCTTGACCTTGGTGACACATGACCTACCACAGGCCACACCGGTGACGCGTGTGCCCTTACCTGCGTCATTGTCGTCCGTCTCAATCGCGTCATCATCCGCAGCGGCGGCGGCGGCGGACCGCGGGCCGCCGATCTCTCCGTCGGGGCCGAGGTTAGCTAGCATAGCTTGCAGCGTCGAGCGTTTCGGCCCTGCAACATGCAGCAACATGCTAGCACCCCCGAAGAAAGAGACAGAGACAGACAGAGAGAGAGGAGCACCACTTGGGGCATGCGAGACAGGCCGGTGCAGTCGCCACGGCGACGCGCGCGCCGGCGGCCGCAGGACCCAACCCTAGCACTACGACATTCAATTACATCGCTACAAAGACGGCCCCTGAAGGACAGGCAGCCTGGAAAATTCATACTCTTTACAGTGAGATAAGCAGAGATTTACACTGAGAGTGAGTGAGAGGAGGAACAAAGAAAGCGAGCGAGAGCCAGAAGGTGAAAGCCAGACGGAGTGAAGTGGAGAAACAGTGCAAGAGGAAATGCTTGAGGAACGGGAGAGAAACATAGCAAGATAGAGTGAAGGAGAAAGGGAAAGTGTTGTGGAGAGGAAGAGGAAAGGAGAGAGCAAGCGAGCAAGAGAGACAATGTGTACGAAGTTAAATAAAACTCAAGAATGGACAATCAAGCGCCCTCGTAAGGTAAAACGATAATCTGGGGCCCGTTGCCAGAAACATCGTAAAGTTAATGCTAAGATAACACTTACGACTAATGTTAATGCTACGAGAGTAGCGTTGACAGAAACACATCGTAGCTACGAGCAAACTCACGATAACAGGAATTTCATGTCACAAGGTTGCTGATTGGATGAGAATCGTTCACAAAATTCTAATTCATACACATTTATTGTACATCACAGTAATTTATGCATATTATGATGGCTAACCACATATAAATAATATTTGATGAAAAACGACGTGATCATGAATTTATTCTGCACAACAAGACAAATTCTCACACTGTAACACGAGAGTCGTGGCAAGCGTGGCAAACCTTTAAAACAAGAGAACAAATGCCATACGCCATTTGTAAATGTATTGTTTTGGTTAACGAACGGTAGATAATTAATGTTTACGACGTGTTTTTCAAGAAAAACACACATTTTACTCATTAATATAAAATATACTATCACTGTAATTGTAATTCTGAGTGTAACTGTATTATTTTCATCCTAATATTAAAGTTACGAGAGGGTCTGGGCTCTCGTAATGTTAGGAGGAAATTTCCGAGGATTTTTCATTCTCGTAACTTTGCGATGTTTCTGTCAACGGTTTTCGAGTGGAAGTTAATGTTAATGCTAATGTTAAGACTAATTTTGTTTCTGACAACGGGCCCCAGGCACGAGAGTCACGCCACAGAATCATCTACAAAGGTCGTGCGGGCATCGCGAGACGTGCCTGCATAATACATGCACAGCCGTCCGCAAAGAGCAGCGGTCGCCACCACAACTGGAGATGTCGACGGCGGCAGAAGCTAAACGGCACACACAAGATGAGATCATGCGCAGAGAGACAGTTACATGTAGAGGTTCCAGCGTCGACGCCGCACTAGCGCCGTCTCGTGTGTCCATTTGACAACAAATCGGCACGGGCACCCATCTCCCGCTTGCCCCTGTCGGGAAGAAGCGGGAACGAACAACCAAGAGAACGGCCGACGACGACGTCGCTACGGCTACCTACTCTGCAGCTTCTTCTTGCTCTGTCGCTCGCTCTTGTATTGCTCCTTCATCTTGCTGATGAGCTGCTCGTCCACCCTCCACTCGTCGCTTGGCAACGCAGCATCCCCTCTCCCTGCAACGCAAGAAAATCGTCGTCAGCCCAACGTGACGCCGCAGACAAGATGAGGTCGTTGCGGGGTGACTATGGCTTTACTCTTACCGAATTCGGATCGCGTAACACAATACACTGTGCGCAACTAAACATTCAGTATGTAACTAGAGAGATGGAAGGTAGAGGGGGGGAAGGAGAGACCATGCCAAGTGAGTATTACAGAGCGACGCCCCCTACCACAACTGTGTTGCTTACCGGCGCCCCCTACTTCAACCGCGTCGCTTACCGGCACCCCCTACCATGACTGGGTTGCTTACTGGCACCCCCTACCACGACCGGGTTGCTTACCGGCGCCCCCTACCATGACCGGGTTGCTTACTGGCCACCGCCCTACCAGGTGGGCCAGTGGTCGACTTACCTCGGCGCCCCTACCAGCTGGCCGTGTCGGACTTACCGGCGTCGCCTACCCTGGCCGCGTTCGGCTTACCGGCGCCCGCTACCACTGGGCCGGGCGCTTACCGGCGCGCCTCCACCTATGGCCGCGTCACTTACCAGGCGCCAGCTAACGCCTCTAACATGCGCGTCGCTTTTCTTACCTCGCACGCCGCCCTCACCATGGCCACGTCGCTTACTGGACATACAACCGCGTGCATACTTACGGATGCCCCCTACTTACGCCACCGCTCCCGCCCTTACCAGGCGCCTCCATCCCACCCCCCCCAGCGCGGTCGCTTACCGGCGCCACCTACCAGCGCCGCGTTCGAAGCGTTTACCGACGGCCACCTAGCCACCGCTGGTCGGCCCTGCGCACTTGGCTTCACCGGCTGCTACACCGCGTAGCGGTGACTTACCGGCAACGCCACTCTACCACCGCCGGTGCTTGATTACCGGCCGCGCTTCCTGACCACCCACGCGTCGCTTACCCAGCGCCTGCCTTACCAGCCGCCGCGTCTCGTCCTTACCTAGGCGCCCGACTCTAAGCACCGCACTGCCGTCGATCAACTTACCGGCAAACGCACTACCGAGCGCCGCGTTCTGCTTAGCGGCGCCATACGTAGCCACGCGGCCAAGACCGTTTGCTTCCGATGCCCCCGTTACTACGCGCACGCGTCGCTTACCAGCGCCTCCTACGACCACCGAGTTGCGTACCAAGAAACCGCGTAGCCACCGCCGCAGTTGGACTTACGGCGCACTAGCAGGGCCTGCGGGTTGCTTCCAATCGCCCTACTAGCTGTCACCGTCGTACCACGCTGCCCACCACACGCGTCCGCTTGTTACCGGGGCCACCAAGCTACCACCAGCCGGCGTCGGCTTATTACCAGGCCACACCTAGCCACCGCTGCGTCGGGCTTACCGGCCCAGTGGCAATACCACCGCGGTTGACTTGACCGGCGCAGCTGACCACGCCGCGTTGAGCTTACGGCCGCCCTAGCCACCGCTTCGGTGTCGTTACCGGCGACCACCTACCAGCCGCCGCGTTGAACTTTACCGGCGCCTCTCGCCACAGGTCCATGGCGGTCGCCTTAGCCGCGCCAATACGGCAGCCGCTCGGTCGTTGCTTACCGGCGGCACCTCCACTCCCAGCCGCGTCCGACCTTACGCGGGCCAAGCCTACGCTCACACACCGCCGATGTTTGGCCCTTACAGGACGCCACCTTAGCACCGCCGCATTGCTGTTACCAGGCCTACGCGCAAAGCCTACACGACCTTGGCGCTCGGGCTTAGGGGCACACCTCACACGCCGCGGTATGACATCTCTACCCGTGGGAACACCACTACCACCAGTCACCGCGCCTGGTTGGATTACGGCAGCCACTCAGGCCATCCGATCCCGCGTTGGCTTACCGGCGCCAAGCCCTACTTCACTCACCGACCCGTCGACCACTTAACCGCGGCGCACTCAGCACCGCTCGTGGTCGTCGTAGTAATTGACCGGATAGACGGCCACTCGTTCTTGTATCCAGGAGTGAGGTATGTCCGTAATATTACGCCGACTAAGGACCGGGGGGGAGAAGGAAGACAGGAGCAGGCGCGGAAAAAGTGGGGGAGCTCCGATGTCGTCGTTTCGTCGGACATGAAGTCGTCCATCCTCCTCGGGACAGTGGGTCACATCAGGACGTCCTCTTGAAGGCGGGAAGCCACGCACCGAGTAACAGATTCCATCTTGAGATCTCCTGTGACAATTGACACAGGATAGAGTGGGGAAGACAGCGGACGAGCGAAGACACAGGTGAGAGACAGGAGAGACAGGGAGAGAAAGTCACAGTGATAGAGATGTACGAGCTACGGGAGTTAGACGCCGAATGATACAGAACTAGAGATGGAAACACCGGTAGAGGAACGACTTCACGGGTAGAGGACTAGAGTGATTGGAAACACGGCGTAGAGGAAACAAACAGGTAGAGAGAGGAAACACGAGCATTATGAGGACAGACCACAGGTAGAGATTGGAAAACAGCGGGTAAGAAGGATGGAGACGCACGGGTAGAGATGGGAAACACGGGGTTAGATGGGACACACTGGTAGAGATGGAAGGGCACGGGCTTATGAGAGAGAGATCACAGGTAGAGATGGGAACCAACGGGTTATGACAGTTATGGGGAAACACGGTGTAAGAGGGAAGGCCGGAGACACAGGTAGAGATGGCGAACACGGGAGGTCAGAGATGGAAACACGGGTTAGAGATGGAAGACAGCGGGGTACCGAGGAAGAAGCCACAGCGGTAGAGATGGAATCACGAGGTAGAGATGGAAAACACGGGTAGACGATGGAAACACGGGTTAGACGGAATACACAGGCGTAGCAGGGGAAACACGGCTAAGGGAGGAAGACAGACGGTAGAGATGGAAACAACGAGGTAGAGATTGGAAACGACGGGGTAGGCAGGAAGACACAGGTTACGAGATGGGGGAAAAGCGGCTGAGGAGCGAAGAAGAGGGTAGAAAGGGAAACACCGGCTTTAGAGGAGACAGAGAGTAGAGATGGAACAGCAGCTAGAGCGAAGCACAGGTGAGATGGAAAACACGCTAGAGGAAGACAGAGGTAGAGAGGGAAACACGGCTAGAACGGAAGACACAGGTTAGCAGATGAAACACGGGTATAGAGGAAGAACAGGATTTAAGGAGATGGAAAACCTACCGGTTAGAGATGGAAAATCACGGACCTAGAGGATAAGACACACGGTAGACGGATGGAAACACGGCCTAGAGAAGACAACGGGTAGAGATAGAAACGAGGGGGTTAGAGGGCATAGACACAGGTTAAGAGATGGAAACACGGCTTAGAGATGGAAACATTTTCGGCGGTAGAGCGAAGACAGGAGGAGAGAGCGCAAGGACACATGTCGAGGCAAGACATGGAGGTAGGAGAGAGATGGAGAGAATGGGTAGGAGCAAGACAAGGTAGAGAGAAAAGAGACAGGGAAGAGGAAAGCTCCACCGGCTAGGGAGAGAGAGCAAAGAGTAGCGTAGAGGAGACGAAGACCACACAGGCGAGAGGAGTCACAGGCAGAGTGGAGGGCGACACGCGGCCGTGAGCGGCGGTAGCGTCGAGTCGGGGTTTCTGGCGGACCTCGCTCGGGGCACAACGACCGGACGTCAGGGGTATCGGACCCGCGCCCCGCTCCTCGGCATGGCAGCTTTCTGCCCCGGCTGCCACCGTCGTTGGGAGTGGAAAAGCGGTTTTTTATTGATTTGATACGTAGATGTCTGCGCACGCCTGCTTGAACATTTCGCTTGGTGTAGAGCGGTAAGTAAACTTCGATCCGACCCTGGGGATGGACCGGACTTTTTTCCGCCGCCGGACAATGAACAAATGGGAAATCCCGAGGAATATCTATCTCCCGGCCATCCATTTAAAAATACCGCGTCAGATTTGAATATTGCAGTCATCCGCCAGGAGTCGACCTAGGAGGTCTCCCCCAGGGGAAAGGCACAGACACTGCAGCTCTAGTACGCGAAACTCAAGATAGAATTGGCCCGAGCATAGGGAGAGTGTTGAAAGGGCATCTCGGCCGACGCGAGACAAGCGTCGGACAAACTTCGACAGTGTTGGTGCAAGATGCGTGCTTAAAACGGTGTCAATAGCTCGATGTGGGCCTACAGTGAAGGGGTGCTGGATGCAGACGTTGGCAGGTTAGGCCTCTACCGGAATCGGTTAAGTGGGTGGTGTCGTGGGCGGTCATCTTTCTTTTAGGGTCGGCCGGCTCCGGCTCGCAGCTTTTTCATCGAGCGGTGAGCTGGGGAATCGACTGCAAAGGTTGGGCAACACATTACGCGGTCTTTAACTAAGATAAGCGAGAGGCAAGGCGGCTTCTTTTACGTTACGATGTGATAGAGTATGGGGGAATACCCAGAGTTCAGGCATGGCTTGACTGAATTTAGTTTTAAGACCAGACAGACCTTAGACAGACGTCGGGATGCGACCAAGAATGCAAAAGAGAATGCTCTCCGGTTAACAAACTTAAAAGCCCTGTAAACTAGCAAAACTATTGAGGTTTGCAATAACTCGACGCAAAACTCGAGTTCGGATGGCAAACTTTCGAGGCAAATCGAAGCAATCAGTCCGGATTTCACTGGAGGTACTGACTGTGAATTTCAAATGTTCCATTGGTCCAATGTTTGTCCTATCTGCAGGGCGATCACCAATGACTACAAACAGCAGTATTGGTGAGTTATTCGAACTCAAGCAAACTCGAGCAACATCAGTTTCTCGTCATAAGAAGAGGAGGTGCGACGGGGCCTAACTTTTCTGCAAACTAGGGTTTGCGACAGTTTGGTCAACCTGAGTCTAGCGACTGGGGGAGAAACTTTTGGGTTGGGAAACCTTCTAGCAACTCGTGGTTTGCTCGAGTTTGCTCTAATTTAAAGCCTTAATCAGTGACGAGCGTGCGGTAACCACACAAAGGAACTTGAATCGGAGTTGGAGACATGGCCGCAAACTACATCAATTCAATCTAAACGTGAAAACGAAAAGACATTCCTGAACGAATGCTTAATACTGAAGGGTTTATGATCGCTCGGTCAATATAAGTGGACGTAGCACAAGGACGTAGGAGACAGCGTTGTGCGTTGTTCATAGAACACAATCGCTCCCGGAGACGCAACGGCCACGTGAGTATCCAGGACAGGAACCTGCCTTTGACGCCGGAGGGGGCCCGGTAACCAGCGTATTCAGGCATTCGTCAACATGGCAACTCGTCATTTCGCCGCCGCGGGCGCGGCCGAATCTCTGTGAACGCTGCCACTTGCATGGATAATCGAGTCCGCCTCCTCTCGCTTCCTCCTCGGCCTGCGGCGTGAAACCTGCTTCCTCCATCTTCCTCCCATCCTCCTCGCGTTCTTTCCGTGGTCGCCCTGTTCTCGAGTGGGAAGAAAGTGAAGGTTGTTCCGCCGCGCGATGGGCACGGCTGCCTCGTGCTCAGGAGCTGTCTGGTAGTCGACC